TGAAAACTTTGTACTAATCGCGAGGCATCAGTTGGCTGTAACTGAAAGCTGTACGGGCAGTATCGCTTGAGAGAGCGACCAGCACTACGCTTGTGACATTCGGTCCGAGTGCAGCCTCTTCATCTTTCAGATGTTAGTACGGTACGTCCTTCTTGCTTTGCTCACCCTCACAAACTCATATGTCTATGCCCTATGTCCGACCATGGACATGTACAGTATAGCTCCTGCCAGAGATTCAGCCTCAACGGCATACCGTACGCAGTTCCACGCAAGGCGGCAGCGCGAAGGCCGGCGCGGGCGCGCAGCGCCGGCACATCGGCCCCGGGGGTGGCGCGCGCGGGCGGCGCAGCGTGCGAATGGTGGAAGTGGCGGGCATGGTAGAAGCTGTCTTTGCAATCAACTAATACATACTTCTGAAAAATGTTTTCCCGCGAAACAGTTAAGTGATCTGCACAAACAGTCGCAGTTCGAGTTTGCCGCGCTTCCCAACGTGATGGGCAATTCTTTCAGGCGGTATGTACGGCGTTTTACGCATAGTGGTTCCGAAAACATCCCTTCAACTTCGAAGGCACTCCTCACACCCCAGGAAAACATTTCGACTTCCGAACGCACCACTTGTCCTCCTCCATCAAATCTGCGATCTTCGTTACCGCCTCGCGCGAAATCAGTCGTTCTCGCATCTCACCGACCTCCTTCTCCAGACACGTCGTCGCCTCCTTCATCACCGCGCCAACCTCTTCACACTACAGAACCTTCTTCCCTTCAATCACACACACCAGCGTCTTCGGGTGCAGATAAGACACGGCGGAGATCTTCCCGTTTGCGATTTCGGACAGATTCTGTGGGACCTTCATTCCAAGTCATAGCTTCGCCATCATCCAGCCCCCAAAAAGAAGCACAAGGAAACATGGGTCTGCGACGTACAGTGTCCGCGCATAAGAGGCGTCCATTGCCATTACAGGCCGGAATTGGAAGCGCCGAGAAGCGTCGAAGACTAAGACCCTCTCAGACTGAGGCCACACGTTCGAACCCTACTGCGCGGGTACCCCTGTCGAATTCATCTGCGCTTGAGAGCACCGAGTTACAGCCTGCCGCACGTTCGAACCCTACCTTGCACGCACCCCGATCGAATTCATCCGCGCTTGAGAGCACTGAGTTGCAGCGATCCATAGTGGCAATGCACAAGAGGTTGGCAGAAGAGCTGGCCAGCTGCAATGCCACATTATCGGACCTAGTGAAAAGCAATGCCAATACGGCGTCCAGTTTAGAGGACATCAAACTCCTCATTCTTCAAAGCTCTGCAGGTAGTTCGCGAATACCATCTCGATCAAGGGTGCAGGGAGGGTCTCGGAAAGGTGCAACTAAGAACCTGGAAAAGGACGTTCTCAAAGACAACCCCACAGTTATTATCGAAATCAATGCGGCAGTGAACGCGGATACCGTGTCAAGATCGCTTGCACAGACTCTATCTTCGTTTATGGATGTCTATCACAATAACCAGGATGACCCCCGGATGACATCGCGTGTCGTCAGCGTCCTCTTGTTCGGGCTCAAACATAACAAACCTCGTTCAGAATTCAAACACGGACTGGGCAAAAAGCATGCAAGTTTTCGCTTCAGTACAGCCAAACGTGCGGTGATGAACGCAAGAAATCTCTCCGACGAAAGTATACGAGCATATGCGGCAGAATTTACAACAACCAAAGCCTTTATTGATAGGGATGCTGACCGCAATGGAATTGATGTTTCTGTTTCTAAGAAGCCTTCTTGGCTGCAACCAGGTGTTTTGGACAAGCAAACGCTGCACACCGCGCGAATGCATCACGAGTGCGCGAAGGCCGAGTTACCTCCGGATCCCTCCTGCCCGACTAGGCGCAAACATCTGTTCATATGCAAGAGGATCGTCACTATTATTAACGACTGTTTGAGAATCTCTCGGGATCGCTCAAAGGTCAAAATGTTCGAGAGCGGCCTCTTTCTACTGGTTAACTGGAGTGAATATGACTCCTTCCATCGCTCTCACTCGTCACCCACCTTTCGATTTTTGCACAGTGATGCGGAATCCGTCCCCGCTTCCGAGATCCCTGACACTACTGTAGGGTGGGATACACACACATCCGTCACCAATCGGAAGCTTCTGGCTGCTCTTATATCGGAAAGCAAAGACCTGGTGATACAGGCGACTTATCAAGTCACCGTCACTGGTGGTTCGAACGGCGAAAACCGTGTCACAGAGATCAAGCGCAACATTAACATCTTGCGAATTGCTCTGCGCTTCGTCTGCGCCTATTGCCATTGTGGTGAGGAAATGACTCTTGGATCACATGCGTCAATGCTTCGAACAATCTATCGGATTGCTCGGTTTCTGAGGCAATTGTTCTCTGTTCGGGCGAACTACAATCCTTCAGGTACAACGGCAACGCATGATGAGGCAACAGCTGTCAGTGGTGACGTGACAAGTGAGAGGAGCCAATCTTTGATACCCGAAATCACGCTGCGAGAGATGTTACCGGGTAGATCGGAGAAAGAGAAGGTTATCAGTGGGGTGTTGAAAATCTCCAAAGAGACATTCGCCAGATTAAACATTTCTGCACCGCAAGACATTGACAGCAGCGAAAGCGCTGTGCTAAGCGGCACCAATGAGTGGAGACATCAAACAGAAGATTTGGAAGATGATTTCGACAGTGACGATGATGATATGGCGGGAATGCTAGACTAACATTTCTGCCCTGATAGGTTACGTAAAGTTCGGATTTGCACGACCAGTGTCAAGACGGGTTCAGCAGTACGCGCTAAGCTGCATGCCAACAATCGCACGCCTTCACTATCAGAAGCTGCAGTATTAGAGCAGGTGGAAAAGTCGGAGCTCGTTCTAGTGGAGGACATCACTCGCGAAAATCGCATGAGGGGTGCGATCAGCATTCGAAAAAATCATTTCGGCTGCTCATGTCGGCAAGAGTGAACAGGGCGGAACCGATATAGTTTATCCTACCTCCATAGTCACCCAATGAATGAACGAATTGCACCACCATGTATCCCCCAACTTTTTCCGAGCAGCATCTCACTCGTTCAAACCGAAGAGCATGTCCAAGCATGACCCATTCTTCGGTCTTAGCAGTCTCCCTAACCCGGATCTCCGCCCCCTCCAGCTTAGACGGGTCCAACACGACCTCGCTAAGCACCCTGAAAGCAAAGTCCGTGACGCTATGAAACTCGTCCGGGCATCCCTTGACGCCGCGCATGGCGTCCTTCGTGACAGCGGCGTGGTTGCGGCAGATGGCGTTGGCGGCCTGCTTACGGTGTTGGGCGCCCTCATGGCCATCGTTGAGCACGTGCTTGCTGCGGGCCGTCTCGACGGCCAGCGACACCGGACTCCGCGTGCGCAGGAAGGACACCGGACCGATCTGCGGCGGCAGGGCGCCGATGTGGGTTCAGTCGTCGCTCTGCAGGTACGTGGCGAGCTCCCAGGCGTCCCGCGCGGCAAACCAGCGGCGTAGGTTCGGGCGGCCGTCGGCTAGCTTCAGGTTGCGCCAGAACTTGAGAGAGGAGCGCGCGCGCTCGAAGATCGTGGCTGGGGAGGAAGGGGTGTTAGGATCAGGCGGGCATTGTTTGGAGAAGCAAAAAAAGCGAGGACAAAGGTGATGAGGACTTACAGAGATGTCGACGAACGAGGGCTCCGGGCTCGGGTAAAAGAAGGAGCCCTCAAAGTCGCCGAGGCAGGTCTCGATGAGATCGAGGGTGTGGTTGACCGGTTCCAGGCCTCTCCCGGGGCTAGACATGGCGCCTCGCAGGGCGCCGAGCCACGAGCCGGTGAAGACGCGCTCGAGGCGCATGTAGCGGTGAAAGGCCTGCATCATGTCGTTATCATCGACCGGAATCATCTGGCGGTACGGTGTCTGAAACGTGTCCTCCAGCAAGAACATGATATCCATGGACACAAATTACAGTGAATGTACACAAAAATGGTGATTTGTGTACACACATTTTGTGTATTTTGGGTTTCAAGAGGCGCCCATTATTTCTTCGATGACATTGCGTCGCAGAAAGTCAACAAAAGATTGCCAAGGCCGTGCAATAATTTGTTTGCCAAAGAAGCATGTTGAAATCGTTAGCTTGATACCCTCTCCAGAAGAGCGCGACTTCTATGCAGCCTTGCATGACCGCACCAAGACCCAGTTTGATACATCTGTCAGAGAAGGCAAAGTCATGAAGAACTACGCATCTATTCTTGAATTGCTGCTCAGGTTGACACCTCTCCCTCCCGCCATTACCGCCGTTGGGAAGTGCCCAAACCCCAGAGCCATCCCCGCATCCCCATTCGAATTCACCTCAGAGAGCGCTTCATTCAGGGCCGCGGCCGCGCGTCGCCCATCACCGAAAAAGTTGAGCGGGCGGTGAAGCGGTTTCTCTAGCGTGCAATCAAGCGCAAACACATCAGCAGCCTCGCGGTTCCCCCTGAACCTAGTCATCTGGACTGGTTCGTTCGTGGCAGCGCATGTATCCACGTACGGGTTTTGCTGCACAGAGGTACCAAACGTGTCGTGATTCCCGTGGACGGTCAGCCAGGGCACGGACTTGTTCACCTGGGCGGCGTACTCCTTCAGCCATCCCCATTCGGTGGCGAGCTGCGCGCTGCGGCCACCGAATGGATAACGACGCGAGGCGACGGCGTTGACGAGATCGCCGGAGACGAGCACGGCGCTGGCTAAAGGCGCCCAGCGCGGGAGGATGTCGTTCTGGAAGCGGCGCAAGTTGCGCTTGGCGGAGCCGTCGTCTATGTCGTTGACGTGCAGATCGGAGATGTGTAGTAGCACAGTGACAGGGGGCCTCGCGGCGGGGGTGTGAGAAGGGGGGATTTTGCAGAAGGGATTGACGGAGAGATGGGCGTAGCGATGGACGCCATACTCCAGGAGGAGGGCCAGAAATATTATGAGGAAGATGCATTTGGGGATGCTGAGGATGGCGGCGGCGCGAAGCTCGCGGTTGAGAATGGTTCGCGGAGCGTGCGTCATTGCGGGCAGTGTCTTGAGTGAATTGGCTTGGCGCAAGGCATCTTTCAGACGGACGCACAGGCCGTCGTGCTCGTCTTGTTGGTGTGCTCATCCATAACTTTGTTTGTGCTGTCGTGCGAGGCAACTTATCTTACGTGATACAGTATCTCCACTGCCATGTGATCAATCATAATAATAAAATTCTTAGTGCCCAGCAACCACTCTTTGGCTTTGAAAACTAATGACAGCGTGTTCACAGTGATTGCATTGTAGCATGTAGACGTACTCCCTTGCCACAACAGTAATAGTCCAAATGGGCTTAGTACTTGGGACACCGAGGCGTCTCTAAATAAATCGTTTCATTTCGACAGCGGGCTCGAGGCGATTCCAACCCTCAGGTTGCATGTTTTGAGTGTGGCCTCGTACTAAGTCTACGTTACTACAAGAGTCTCGCCTCCACCCAAGTTTGTAGAGAGACCAACGAACTCGTCCCTACACACCTGCGCGACCTCCCGCTCAAAATCAAACATTGGCTTGTTGGTACAAACCCCCTACCGTGCAGTACTAGCCACGACGAAAAACAGCTTAAACTCAATAGCCGCGGAGCAAATTCACACATTTACCACCAAAACTGAATCCAACTCGAGCCAGGGCGAGCAACGAGTGGCAACTTTAAAAACCGCACACCACCCCCGCTCTACGCGGCCTCGGGATCAACGCCCGGCATACTAAACTTGGACGCAAACTCTTCGACCTCCTCTCTCAGCTGTTCCAGCTCCTGGTTCCCTTCGAGCGCCGGCTCAAAGTCGACGAGCTTCTTCCCGGTGACCTTCTGAATCTCCAGGCCAATATCTAAGCCGCGCCTCAGAAAGCGCGCCACCTAGGTGCGCTTTCTGAGGCGCGGCTTAGATATAGCGCCATACGTGACTAGGTGCTCATGTGTGGTTGACCCTTTGTACAAAATACGTGCGTCAAGTAGTCATCTGTAACCAAATAGCTGACTTCGGACACGGCCTGAAAGCCTCTAATAATGAAGTAGGGGAGCTCAACTTCGAGAGACCCGCAAACGTGTTCAGAAACGGATGTAGCTGTACTCCAGAATCGACTGTTCGGGGGAACCATCGGACGCCACCGGAAAGAGAACGTTTTCAACTCCGAGAAAACAGTCTTTACAGCCTCGTCCTCCGACACCTCGCCCGGTGTGGCTGAAAGCCTTGCCGCCAAAACCTTGCTTACAAGGTCAACTGCTTGAAGTGATGAACATGAGAGAGGGTGAGTGTACGACATACTTCGAAAATCGAAATCTCGGCTCTTTCGGACAAGGGCATCGGCCGTCGCCTTGCGACGAACGTATGGCATACATGTTCCCACCAGCAGTGCCGCCGCCGAATTCTCATCGGTCTCATCTGCGACATACAGCCCCATAATGCGAATTGCTTCATGCACGGTTCCTTCTTTTCCTCCTCCTTTCCTCCGTCGCACAATATTTCTCATGTCCGCGACAGAGTTTATGCCAATAACTGTGCACAAATCTTTGCATGATGGGAAAATTATCTCTGCGAGCTCGGTGCACGCTGCGAGAGACTGGGTTTCCTGGAACGAGGGCTTGAACTGGGCAGAATCGGACAACGAATGAACAGCGCGGGCCAAGTTCTCATACTCTTCCAAGGTGCAGTCTACCACTGAACGAATGCTTCCGGTAGAGCTCTCTTCGTAGTGTGTGTCCTGCTCCGTATCCCCTTGTCGCGGTTTGAAGTTTGGTACCGGCTTCTGGATGAGTACCAATGTTTTCTGTCTCAAAGTATTTAGGAGACGTGCACATTGCCGTTCTGCCGTTGATCCAGACCCGATCCGAGAAAAGAATTGAAACTGGCCAACAACCATGCGCTCGATTTCTTCAACTCGAGATAAAAGCGTAGCCACTTTCCTCTCCACGCTATACATTCGCAAATTTTGTACCGCCTCCCCATCACCAACTCCATTTTCGCTCTGGCGAATAAAATTTTCTCCGTCTGTTTCATAGCTCACCTGTCCTGAGCACTCATAATAACGCCACCGCAACTGAGTGGCGTCATCTTCCACCAAGCGAATATAATCAGGAAGAATCCACACCATCGCTTGTTGTTCATCGAACCCCTCCCTTGCCACGTATTTCAGTTTCCCTTTCACTCTTCCCTCGACCACTTCCTTAGTTACTAACTCTGCCCGCCACCAGACGGATGCAAGCGTTCTCTCACCTCGCCTTCGTCCTTCCCCTTTGGTTAATTCGATGTCCCAGAGGACCTCAATTAGTATCCCAGGTACCAGAGACTGCATTTCGGTACAGTAGTCTGAGCCTTGGGAAAGGCTTCCTGTCACTATGAATTCGTCATGAAAAAGCACGCTCGTCTTTTTTTACACGTGGCAGGCAAGACCCCCAAGTTTTGTTTCCCGAAGTCACCAAAGGACAAACGGGGCTTCGTCCCGTCCTTTCTCTCGGCAACCAGATTCCGAAGTCGTGCGCAACCCTGCCGACTTACCCCAAATACCACGCACATCCCCCGCCATGGTCGAGCAAAAAGAGGTCATCCGCCCACCCCCTGATGTGTATCTGATCGACCCTCCTCCACCCCCCTTCACCGTCCCCTCTGCCTACCGCGCCCCGCGCCCCGCCCTCTCATCTCAACTCGCAAGACTTCATCTTCGATCTCGGGTCGTCCACATTGTGGCCGCCTTCTCAGGCTCCTCCATGCCAATCTTACAAACCCCACCGTATGTCGCCCGCATGCGCCATGCTATGATGCCGAGTGGAAGAAAATTAGAGAGGAACCAGATAACTTTGACGAAGTGTCAAAGACAGTCAAGGTGGAAACTGGGGAGGCGAGTGATAAGCCGGCGACGAGCGCGGAGGAGCAGGCGAGAATTGATAATGGGAGGAGGTTGAAGAAGTTAATGCAGGATAAAAAGAATTCAAGAGCCGGCGGAAGGGATAAGGATGTGTCGGGGACAGAGGCAGAGCCGGTGGACACGGTGGAAGATGTCAAGAGCCGGCGGAAGGTATAAGGATGTGTCGGGGACAGAGGCAGAGCCAGTGGATACATCGTATACACTGGAGGAGGTTGTGTATTGAAGATATGAGGGATATAGATGAGGACAAGTACTACATTTCCATGTGCGTCGGACAGTGGGAATCGTCGACAGCGCTGAACCAAGAGATCGACAAGCGGCAGCTGCTCGTGGATGACGAACGTGCCAAATTGAGCGCGGGAAAGGCAAGGGCAGCGGAGGTGGCGTGGTGGAAGCGCGTACGAGCAGACGAGCTTCTGTCGATGTCAGAGCTGAGCGC